TGGCCAGCAGGTCGAGGGAGGTGATTCTGCCCCTCTACTCAGCTCTGGTGAGACCTCACCTGGAGTACTGCGTCCAGCTCTGGAGCCCTCAGCACAAGAAGGACATGGAACTGTTGGAACGGGTCCAGAGGAGGGCTACAAAAATGATCCGAGGGCTGGAGCACCTCTCCTATGAGGACAGGCTGAGAGAGTTGGGCTTGTTCAGTCTGGAGAAAAGGAGGCTACGGGGAGACCTGATTGCGGCCTTCCAGTACCTAAAGGGGGCCTATAGGAAAGATGGGGAACGTCTTTTTAGTAGGGCCAGCTGTGTTAGGACAAGGGGAAATGGTTTTAAACTAGAACAGGGTAGGTTCAGGCTAGAGGTAAGGAAGAAATTTTTTACAATGAGGGTGGTAAAACACTGGAACAGGTTGCCCAGAGAGGTAGTGGAGGCCCCATCCCTGGGAACATTCAAGGCCAGGTTGGATGGGGCTCTGAGCAACCTGATCTAGTTAGCAGTGTCCCTGCTCACTGCAGGGGGGTTGGACTAGATGACCACTAGTGGTCCCTTCCAACCCTAAACATTCTATGATTCTATGATTCTATGATTCTAATTGTATCAACACTTCCTTGTTTTTATTTCAGAGATAAACAACATGGCAATAAGAAATAGCAATCAAGAATATGCTGCTGTCAAAAATACACTTGAATGCCTAAAAAGATGTTATAGCATACCTTGTTTCACACTACCTTCTATTTTAAACATGGGATTCTATGATTCTATGATTCTAATTGTATCAACACTTCCTTGTTTTTATTTCAGAGATAAACAACATGGCAATAAGAAATAGCAATCAAGAATATGCTGCTGTCAAAAATACACTTGAATGCCTAAAAAGATGTTATAGCATACCTTGTTTCACACTACCTTCTATTTTAAACATGGAAAAACCAGGAAAATATTCTTGTTTCCACTTTAGCCAGCAAGAACATAACAACACAAATGCATCAGCCATGTTAATAACAACCAAACTCAGAATCAAGCATATACCCCAGAACTCAAGCTGGCTTTCCATCCCGTGTCTTAAATGTAAATAACTTGTAAATTCCCTCAAATATTGGTTAAACCATTAAAGAAAGTAATATGTAATCACAGGAAAAATAAATACGTAAGGTGAAATCTCCTACTATCTAAAGCAACATAACTAATTTCAGCAAGATAATGTGTACAGGGTAAAGTAGTAAGTGGTAATGCTGCAGAAAACCCCAGTAAGCTTTGAGGATCCAAAAAAAGATTTTTCAAGCTTGCATTTTTTCCCAACTCTGTCTGTTGATTTAATAAAAGTTATCAGTTCTTCAATAAATCCTACTCCATTTTGGGACAGGATTTAGAGATGATGCCCTATCACGGTATCAACCATACTATGTCTTGAAACTGTAGCTACACTTCTTCGGGGACAACTTGGCTTAGAAAAAGTTGTTGGCTTGAAATTGATTATTAAATTTCATATGAAAATAAATGAAACAGCGAGGAAAGAATGGCAAGGACTTTCAACTTTATTACTAGACTTTGGACTTTATCTATTGACAGAAATAGGGTTTCAGTAACTATATATCTCATGTATGTGAAGGCTTATTAGAGACAGTAGAGCAGACAGCAGAGCTTTTGTTCTTCTGCAGGGACCACCTTACCTGCAGAATGGCCGTTCACAAGTTACAACACCAAATCTTTTGTGTCACTTACACATCACCAGTCAGAGAGGAACTATCTACTGCTGCATCCTTTCAGTGTCTCTGAATAAGCTACCCCTCAAAAGCTGGAAGAGCTTAATGTAAGTTTGGAGGAGACTACAAGAAGGCCAGCCAAAGCTCGACTCCATTCGTTCTCTGGATGGAATAAAACTATTAAAATATACTCTATGAAGATTTATGCTGACCATTTACATTTAAGCACTTCATAAACTGTCTAATAATTACCTTGACATATTGCTGCAAAGGAGCAGTATGGCCAGCATAAACTATGTACTAAGTGGATTTTAATCACTTCACAGGAAATAAGTGGCTGGGGATTTTAATTCTATTGATTATGTAGCAGGCAGACACTCACATTTCATCCACCTTCTAAAAAACACATATCAGGAAGCAGGCAGTAACCTACAACTGAACAACTGAATTACATTTAATTTGGTTTTGTCTAAAGTTCCAGAAAAGCCACTGCACTATATCAGACATTCAACCTTGGTCTTCCCAGCGTCAGCCTAGGGCCACTGGGCTAT